TACGTAGTAAAAAGATTTTGTTATTCCAATGGCATGTCATCAGTTTGCTTTGAAGACAGTTCTGTGTTCACAAACATTTGTTGCAGGGAGAGTCAGGCCCAAGTGAGACGCAGGAAATATCACAGACAGCTACATCAAGTGTAACATTAGGATAACTAAATACATTTGTACTGTAGCTACATTAACAAGCAGCTGTTCCACGGTTATTATGGTATCTAGTCTGTTTTGTTCTAGTTATATTATATTCCCTCTCTCTGACCCTCTCCCTCTTTGAGTTTTCATAATCTCCCCTCTCCAGTCTATTCTCCATCTTCTGTCACCACAAAAACCCTCTTTCAGCCCACTAATAAGTCCATTCTGTTTTCAAAAGTCATTAGAAATGAGCATTTAATCAGAATCAGAATCAGAAGGAGCTTTATTGCCAAGCAGTGTTTAACACATACGAGGAATTTGTTTTGGTGATAAGGTGCTACACGTAGACAAACATACAGCTGACATAAATAAATGTAGAAATATGGAATAGACAATGCAAGTTATATATATACTCATTATTTCTTTCATTTTAAACGTTTTCTCTTTCTCATTGCTTACTTTTACAACAGCATCCATTGTGGAACGCCCTTTTCTGAACCCACTTTGATATGGTGCATATTATAATCCTCAATGTTCAAGTCTTTTGAATAGTATATTCTCCATCAACTTGCATGGATGTGATGTTTGGGCGATAGGTCTACAATTACCAGCATCATTAGAATCTTTCCCAGGTTTATTAAATGGCAATATTAACACACACTCTTCCAGCTTTTGGGCATTTTACTGTCTTCCCATATCACATACCCCACATAACTCAGTTAATCTTCTCCTGTAGCAGTATTTTAATACCATTTAATACAATCACAAGTTCATTCAAATTAATTTCTGCATCCATACTTTCCTCACTATCTTTTTTAATAAACACAGCTCTATTTTCCTTAAGAACCTTATCTTTATGGATTTCATCTAAATGATCACCACTATGCACACTAGCAAACTTCTTTCCCAACATGTTTGCCTTTTCCTTATCTGTTAGTAGGTGCGTTCGAGATGACGGCGGCTGACTTTCGCCGACTTTATAGTCTAACGTGAGCTGCAGGGTCGGGGATTAAAAACGTCGCCGTCAAGTCGGACACATTCTACCTGCGTGAGCTTACTGTGCAGGGCTGGCCCTGGCCAGTTTGCTGCCCTAGGCAAGATTTCACCTGATGCCCCTGGATTTTTGTTCATAAACTTACACATAAACAAACTGCACAGGTTTGTCTTGTTTTTTTTTTGAAAATATTTTGGAAACACAAACACACAACGTATTATAGATACAATATAAATATGTATTATATTATATTATGTTATTGCAGAAAAAACTATATTACAGAAACCTTGCTTTCAGCATATGTAACATTCCAAAAATTATAAATAAGACCGTTGCACAAAAAATAAATAACTATACACAAACTTGAATGCACTATGCGAAATGTTTAGCAAATGTTCTACAGCCTTTCTAGCCGCAGCCGACAGCTGTTGTGAGACCACATGATTTATGCTAATGACTGAAAGTCCACTGAGACGTTCTTGAGCCATTGTAGATCTCAGGTAGTTTTTAATCAGTTTGAGCTTAGAGAAGCTCCTTTCAGCAGCAGCGACTGTCACAGGTAGAGTGGCAGAGATTCTCAGAGCAACCCACATATTGGGGAAAATTTCCATCAGCTTCTTCTCCTGCAGGAAAGTCAGGAGCTCAATGTTTGTCATAACTTTTGATGTCAGATGTGGAAAGTTTTGCATTTCTAATACAAGTTTCAATTCAATTTAGCGAACGTTACAGGCATCGTGATCGTCGAACTAACTTAATGCAACACAGATAAACTGATCACACATCATTACCTACCTCGGTCTTTTTCGCGTTTTTCTTCCTCTTCTCTTCTTTTTTTCTTCCCTGGGCACCAGATGGTTTCGGTCTTTTGACATAATGACAACTTATCAGTGTCAGTGAATTCGGCCATCTGTCACTCACACACACAGGTAAAGGGTTTTTTTTCAGCAGGGCGGGGGCGATGGAGATTGGTGCGTCACTCAGTCGGACCGGGGGGATTCAGGATTCCCCCCGGATTCACGATCGCTTTTTTTAATCCATAATATTTAAGTTGTATTAGTAATAAAAAAAATTATAAAAAAATTAATTTGGGCGCTCGGGCGCCCCAAGGGGTGGGCGGCGCCCTTAGCATTTGCCTATTCCGCCTATGCCCAGGGCCGGCCCTGTTACTGTGAGCTGAGATCATTGATTGTTCTCAAGGCACTTGCGTAGAAAAATGCCGCGAGACCAGGTGCGAGTTCAGCGCAGACAAAACGTAGCAAAACGTTTTTTTCAACGGAAACGGTGGTCCCCTGAACACCCTGTTGTTTACGCAAGCGCACTGCATTTTCCTGGCTTTTTAACGCCGTTGTGTTTACAAACTTGTTGCAGTTGATTGGGTAACACATGAGACACGCCCAACAAACATGCCGTTCAATCTGAAAACGTTGCAAACCGGTGCAAAACGTTTTGAGATTTAACTCGCCCCAGGAAAAAGTGTGGTTTCAACTTGGTGCAGCCGGGAAAAAGCAACTGCGGCCGCCGAACTCGGCGCCTGCAGCCGCCTCGCTCCCGCGAGATTTTAATGTCGTGACATTTTGCAGTGCCGGCGAAAGTCGGACACAAATTCTAACCAGCGTGACTTAAACAGGTTCTCCACTACTGGAAACTCATATACAAACATAACTTTATTCCTCGCAGGGTCCCAATATGGAATAACAGAAGTATATTAATTAAGAGGAAATCTTTTTTCTACAGTGAATGGATGGAAAAAGGTGTCTGGTCGATTGTTCATTTATTAGATAATTGTGGTAACTTCTTAAGATATGATGTCTTCGGAAATACAGTTTTATGTGCACTGAGATCTGAATTTGTAATGAATAATCTGATTTTAATAGCAAAATACTTCATAAACAAATGTCGATTTCTTAAAACTTCCCCCGTCTTTAATGCCTAAATGATATAATTCTGTATAAAGAATCCCTGAAATGTTGCAGAACAAAAAAAGCCCTACTTTTTCATGAATACTTATGCATCATACTCATCTCCTAGTGTCTATTGTTGTGTGTTGTGTTTTCTCTTTTTCTTTTTTATTTATTATTTTTTCTTTCATTTTGTTTTCTTGGAAAATGATCAATATGGTACTCCGTGTTCAATTCATGCTGTAAGATTGACAGAATATGAATGCAATGTGCCTGAAAAAGGTAAGAAAAAGGAAAAAAACGTTAAGTCAGCGCTGCGCTCCGCATGAAGTCAAACCTATTGCCAGTTTACTGGTCTTTGGATTTATCGGTATTTCAGATACCGTGAATCTTGTAATTATTTTGGGTAAATATAAAATACATACCTGTAAGTGGAAAGGCAGTACTCCCTCTTTTACTGTATTCATATGTTCTTTTAACAACTACTTCAAGTTGCTGAAAGCCATGGTTAAAATGAACAGAAAGGTAAAAAACCTGCTCTCATCTATATCTCAATCCTTGCTTTTTTAATGTCACTCATCTTGCTCTTTTGTGCTCCTCAATTCTTTTTATTTATTATTATTATTGTAATTTTTTTTAAACGTCTTACTTTAATTATCTATTTACATATATTATCCTGTCTGTTTTTTAAGTTTGTAATTGTCTGCTGATATGTTCGAGTGTGCTATGGTATAATTGCCACCATTGTAGATTTTTTCATTTTCTTCTGATTGTATACCCATTCCCTAACTTGTTTGTATATTTTGTACTTTTTCAAAAACAAAAATCTTATAGGTGCATTACTGCCACCTAGTGGAGTGGAGACACATCCCACTCATGATCCCACTGCAGCACTGACCAAAAACTGAACCAGAAAAAAAGACTCGGCCTACTACATACAAAAATAAAAAGCTAAAACTAGATAAATTGGATTGGATGTTATGTATTTTAAACTTTAAACATTTGAGATTCAATTCAGGAATTGAATAATATTATTAATTAACTGTACATATTAAGAATATCAGTATATTGGAGTAAATTGAAACACTAAATTTAGGCTGATGTTGTTTTTCAGTAATTCTTCAGATTTGTCATCCACAAACTTAAATGACAGATAGCCTAAAAGATCAATACCTGAAACCAAACATTTCAGTCTGTCTTCTACCATCTACCTGTATGTCCTCGCCAAGTACACGCAGAGCAGGTATGTTGTCGTTTTCACCACGTGGCGGCGCAGACAAGCTGTGCATTATTTGCCTGTGGAACCTTTTATTAATTATAGGCCCAAATAAATCCACCAGTGCAGTTTATACCGTCCAGTTATTCTTTCTTTTTCTGTAATATCGGTTATTATAGCCTATCATTAGTAATATAAATCAATATCACTCCATCCATCTATCGTCAACCACTTATCCTGCATACAGGGTCGCTGGCTGGCTGGCTGGAGCCAATCCCAGCTGACATCGGGCGAAAGGCGGGGTACACCCAGGACAGGTCGCCAGTCCATCGCAGCAATATCACTCTAATTACTTAACTAAATTAGGCTAATTAATTTTCAATTTACTGTTTATTTTTTCTATCTATCTATCTATCTATCTATCTATCTATCTATCTATCTATCTATCTATCTATCTATCTATCTATCTATCTATCTATCTCGCTAGGTAGAGGTGTGTAAATTTAGAAATTAGTTATGAAAGACAAGAGCAAAGTTTGATTCATTTAGGCCTATTGATAAAATAATAATCGATTACATTTCCTCCAGCTTATAATAGCTCCTCACCAAAGTGACTAATAATGGGTAAACCGTTAATTAATGCAGCGATTGATGCATGTCATATAGTCACAACCAAACACTGAATAGAAGGCTGTCCAGCAGTTAGTAGGCGTGGTGAAGCAGAGCATAAATACTGCGGAGCCTCTGTGCGGACGCTCTCTTCTCCGCTCCTCTCTACTCAGGCTGGAGACGCACCAGTCCCACTGCGAACGGAACTAATTCACATAAAACAAGTCGAGAAACAAAAAGAAAGAAAGAAAGAAACGAAGGGGGATATTTAGAACCAGAAGAAGTGGAAGGAATACAACTTGTTGATTATCATATTTTATCCACCCAAAAAAAATAAAAAATAACTGGAAGTTTTGACATCATGAGGATTTTCAGTGCTGTGCTCGTCCTGCTGATTCAAGCCTTGGGTGAGTTTTAATGTGCGCTTTCATGGAAGAAAACATGCTTGTTTTTTATTCTCCCTCTGTGTGATGAGTTGGATTATTGCTCTGTTTGACATTTGCTTGGTGTGTCTATACCTGCGCGTGACATAGCCTCTCTCCTCGGCTATTAAACCTCTCAAGCATGGCCGAGCTATAACGTGTCTTGTAAACTTCATAACGTTTAAGGCAACGCTTTTCGTGATGCCAGGCTATCCGGGAGCTAATGGGGTCATCTCTCTATTTTAGAGCATGCTTTATGTAACTGGATACATTTATTTTTAACTCATATTCTTGCCTGACATTAACTAACTGTCTGTCCATGTATTTTGTGTGTAAAAGATGTATGCCAACTTCTATTTGCCCTCCTGCCCACACACCCACACAAGCATACATTTCCCATCCAAAGCCCACAAATCTAAACTGTCCCTCTGGGGGAGGCTTCCCCTCCAGTTTCCACTCTGCTGAAGTGCTCTTGAGCAGGGCAGTGAATGCCTGCCAACTCTTTAAGAACCATGTTCTGGATGAGCTCCTGCAATTCCTATCATGGGTCAGCATGATTGCCCTGAAAGCCAAAAATCTTTGCACACAACATGTTTCAACTTGCCCTCAGAGGCCCGCCCACCTTGGCACACTAACCTGTGTCCCCTAGAGGAAGAGTTTGTAAGGTGTTTCAGGAGGTCTATTCTGTTCAAGAATGTGTTGAACTGAAACTTGCATGCAATTTTAACATTTTTAAACCCTCTTTATTCCCTCCTCCAGTGGTGTCCAGAATGACCAGTGGTGCTGCGGTTGACAGGTATGAGAGCGACAGGCAGCAACACACGGCTGTTATCAACTTTTTGGACACAACCAGAGGCAAGAGGGTGGTGGAGGAGGAGAGCAGGAGCGTGGGTGCAACAACAGTGGAGTACGGTCAGGAAGGCGAGGAGGAGGAATACAACGATGAATATTATTATGAAGACGAGTATGAAGATGGCATGTCTGGAGACTATGAAGTGGAAATGCCACAAGGTGAGAGAGTCAAGTTTTTCATTTTCGCTAATTTCTCACTGCTGAGTCAATTCAGTTTTGACTTGCTTCCATAACAAAGACAACACAATGTAATTGGTTTTGTTCTGTTTTTGGTTTAGTTGCCATGTCAAGCAAACCCAAAAACCCATCTGCCATCCTGGAGGCTGAAAGCACAGATGGAAAGCGAAGTAGAGGAAAGGGGAAAAAGAAGGGGAAAGGCAAGGGACTGAAGAGGAATCCTTGCCTGAGGAAGTATAAGGATTTCTGCATCCACGGCACTTGCCACTACCTGAGGGACATCCGCTCCCCATCCTGTGTGTAAGTATGAACCCTGCATCTATTTCCACACCATCTCCACCACTCTGGATCCAATGAATTACTAACCCCATCGCCTGGCTCCCTCTTTGTCCTGTCTGCAGGTGCCACCCGAGTTATTCTGGGGAAAGGTGTGAGTTCTTCACGCTGCCAGTGGAGAAGCGTCCGGAGGGCTACAACCGGACCACAGCTCTGGCGGTGGTGGCGGTGGTGCTGTCGTCCGTCTGCCTCGTCATCATAGGCCTTTTATTATTGCTGAGGTAAGCAAAACACTCGTAGATTCACTCCAAACACACACTAACAACCATACAGACACACACACACAGATAAAGCTTTTGTAGACCCTTAGCTGATACTTGTCATAGACAGGCACAGAAAATAGTCTGAACAAGCTTCTTCTCTTTTGTTAATTGCAGGTTTCACAAGCGGGGAGCATATGAGGTAGAGAATGAAGAGAAGGTCAAACTAGGGCTAGCGTCCACCCACTGAAGAGACAAAGAGAGGTGAGTAGTGAGGAACAGCACTACAAACACATAAACAGTGACAAAAACATATTTTTTCTTTCTTCTTCGTTCCCTGAAATGAAATAAGGTTTTGCTCACCACCTCTCGTTTTTTCTCCTTTTTTTTCATGTTAGGCAAAGATGTGGAAATTCTACCTCAAAATAGAAAAAGAGAAGTGAAGCGCGAGAGGAGGTCCTAGAAGGAAAAAGGGTCGTACATGAAGACGGGAACAGAGGTTGTTGTCTGCCTGGACGTTCAGATGTAAAAACAAAATGGGCAGCTGAACATATTCCTGAAGGCCTCAGAAAGATGACGGCCCCCCTGAAACTGGAATACTAACGGCCCAGAGGATGGATTGGAGATGTGGCGAGTGAAAGGTGATGAGCACGAAGGAGCGAGAAGAAGAAGAAGGAGCATTTGTCTAGACTCTGTGCTGCTTCTTGACTATGTGACAAGAGGTCGCTTCAGACTGAACTGAACAAGATTTTTAACAACAAGAGCTCAACCTGGATTTTTTTTTCTCAACAGACAGCATTTGTTTTGTATTTTCCTGCACAAGTCCATGTTTTTTTGTGTACAGTAAACAGTATATTTATGATTTTAATTTATTTATTTAAGCTAACTGTATTTATAGAGATTTTAACCGCCTCCAACAGTTTTTAAAATAATGATGTTACATTTGTTTTTATATTTCTTATTGGACGATATGATATTTATTTATGAAACAGAAAAGGAAACAATGCAGAAGCTCCTTGAGATATTAAGTATTTCATGAAACGAGACATGATGCATAAATATCTGATTTTTCTGGCTTTAACTTTGGCACTCAGTAGATGATCAATGGCACTGTGATAAATAAATTGATCATTGAAAAGACAAGATCGCTTCTTAATTATTCAGTGTTTCACTGAGAGCAATGATTTTCAGGAACACCCAGCTCACACTCATGCATTCACACACGTTCACACCTTGAAGCTGCCCAGTACAACCAGTTGGATCTGTTAGCCACTAAGTAGCACCATCGTAGACGTTGGGGTTTCAGGGCGTTGCTCAAAGTCACATCCCCGGTAGTGATGAGGTATGAGGCAAGCACTGCTCTTTCACTTCCTGCGACCAAATTGATCCTGCAGGTCTGAGGATCTTTAGGCTACATTAGGCTTAGTGTTCTGCCTCAGTGTTCCAGTGTTCAGTGTCTATCATTACGATACATCATCCCACTGGCTATATGCTGATTAAAGGCAATGGACAAACTGTGCACTCTGCGTCTGTATTGTTAAGAAACCTTTAAAAGGGAGTAAATATTAAATGCACTGTGTCAAGAATTTGGAATGAATATGTTGTAACGTCATGTTGTCTTACCATCTTTCAAATCCTGTCCTGCAGTTTTGAAGTGATTTTTATGTATGTGATTTTTTTTTCTGAGCAAAATAATAATAAAAAGGTTCTCAGAATTTTTTTGACTCTTGTAGTTCATTGTATCCTAACTGTACAAATCAAAGCACTGTGTTCTTAGCATTATGACAGGAGTCTTAGACGTTGTACTAACAGATCAGTTAAGTAAGGTCAAGTGTATTTTTGCTCTTTGGTTCACTTCCTGAGTCACATTAATGTGATATTTTAGAACAGCCTGTCTGGATAATGATAACACCAGTGTGTTCTTTTGGCCCATTCAGGAGCTGTAATTATAGTAAACATAATATTTTTTATTTCCCCTGTCGCTGGCGTGTGAGCAACTGCTTTCAACCAAAGCACCTGTATCCTGGCCATTAGTGCTGTAATGTTCATTGCTCAAAAGGAAAATATTTTTAGTCAGTGCTGTATAGTTATGGAGTCAGAACGCCTCCCTTGTTTCTTATGTTTAAATCTGTGTAGGCTTAGATTCCAGTGCTTAATCGCCATATTTGTTTCCATTTGTACAGTTTAATATTTTTACAGTTGATAAATTAAGAGGCATTTCTCTTTGCACCAAAACAAAGACATAATCAGTATCATGTGTTGACAACAGCATCATCAGTCTCACTGATGGATCAATCATAATGAGTGCGGTCAGGACTCACTTAACGCTGTGTATATGCACTGAGCCGCGAGGAACAGATGTGCGGTGTGTAGGCCAGGGTACACCTGATGTTCAGCCACAACACATCATGCCACGGCACCACACTCCATTACTCACACAGCCAACAGATGTCATGTTCAAAGAGACACCACCAAGTATAACATCTGAGACCTCAACCAGCCCTGAATGGCGCGGAGTTCAGAGAGATCACATATGGCAAATACTAGCAGGATGCAACAATGCTGTCATGTATGCTGCACGCAGGTTTAACAGGGGTAAGGAAAGTCAAAAGACCCAGCTGGACTCAAAGGCAGGCTGAGACCCAGCTAAATGTTAGTCACTCCTTGAAGTCACCTCCTACACGGAAGTTGTTACGCTGACACTGTGTGTGTGTGTGTGTGTGTGTATGGGAATGTGGTAGAGTAATGCCTTGGTGCTGCGTTTGTATGGGTTCCAGGGGTTAACCGAACCATTACAAGCAAAAATCCACACCAAAACATCAGTATTTACATGTTTACCATGGGCTCGTTCTCAACACTGTTTGCGGGTTTGATTCCCATACTTTCTATATATACAGAATAAACCAGATACTGTCAGACTCGCATGTTCACACTGGGGGATGGTAGTTAAAGACAGATGTTCAGCTAACCCTTAAGGGTGTACTACCTGATTCAGGATCCAGCACTCCTCATACCATTTGATGAGCAACTGAAAAACAGCAGTTCAGCATTTAACTTTCTCAGTCCATGCACATTTGCTTTTATTTGTGTCTGCTCAGTTTGCAGTTTTAGTAGATTAACTCACTGCACCGCAGATATGTTCAGTTAAATTCCAAATACTTTCTCTTTCACGAGGCAGTTTCAACATAAAAACACATATAATTCATTCACAGGAATAGAAACAAAAGTTCCCTGTTCCCTTATGGATTGAAAAAATTCTCATTCTTCTACTAGTACAGATTTAGTATTGCATTTCAATGACATTGTCAAACTCCCTATGCACACATTCAAAAAGTTATCAAACTAGATGCGGCTGAACAAGGTGGCGCCTACATTATCCACATTGCAACTTAGTTGAGTGCATTATAGACTTTGGTGTGTTTACTATGTTTGCACCTCCTGTGCAGACTAAAATGGCGAAAACAAAGACCTAAAACTAAGAAGTTTGAAAACGCTGCCGACTCTGTTTTTCATTTTTAAAAAGGGCGTTTTAGTGAAGACGGGCAAAAAAGGAGGACTATAGAAATGATGATGCTCATGTTTGGCTCTCTGATTGGGTGCTATAAGTCATGCAAAGTAGAAACACGATGACATGGTATTTTTATTGAAATATTTTGTACTGTGCAAATAACACTTATAGCCTACACTTGTACTGTTTATGCAGTCATGTTGACTTTGCGACGACTCCCAGTCTGTTTTCCGCCATCACAGTTACTTTTAACTCCTGTGTTACATTCAGTAACAGTCCCAGCTCGATCTGGTGTGGTTATTCATCTCTAGTACTTTATTCTTTCGCCAAATCTTCTGTAGCTACGGAATAGACCATCTGCTTCATGTTTACACTGGCACATGCATGCCCAGTGTACGTGAACCAAGAGTTGTGCGTTTTCAGTAGTTTTAGTATAGACGGAGATCAGCTCTGATGAGCAGCTAAAACGCTGGTGTGGACGGAGATCGTATTCATTTTAATTCTCTGTTTTTAAACTAAAACGGAGTAGTGCAGATGCGACCAAACTCTACACACCCAGATTGCATTTTCAAACTTGTAGTTGTCAGCCCCAAACTAACACTGAGCCAAATGACATCAGTTGAGGCAATCAGACTTCATGCAGCTCCCGTCTGGAGCCACAAAAGGCTTCATACAACTTTTTTCACATATGCATTAGTGCTCCCCAAGATCTGTAAACACACTTTGATGTGGAAAATCGGCACAGTTGCCCTTTCAGCATTTGAAAAGTATGTATGAACATGTAGCTTATATATGTATTTGCGAAAGCACACACATGTGTACGTGTGTTTGTATGTGTGACAGGGGCTAGTCATTTACAGTGGTGGAGCCACCTAATCCAGCCCTCTCAATGTCAAGCAGCAGAGCACACAGAAATAGTGCCGTGCAGTCATGCCCACATAGCTGCTATTCCCGGGGCTGATGGCCACCAAAGAGACAGAATGCTGAGAGAGAAGGGAGTTCGCTGCGTACTGTTTCTCAGTGTCCTGGTGGACCACAGCCAGGAAATAATGTCCGGTATGGTGGCCCATCATCAGGCATCAGTGCTGCACCACTCCTGAATTTTCCTTGTAGGGTCACAATAACGGCTCCACACAAGAAGAAGAGTGTACTTGAATGTTCCTAGAGAGACTCAAAGAGGATATATCCACAGCTCAATAGGCATTTCCTTACAGGTTGGCCAAAATTTATTGGAAGTGGCAGAAGTCATTGTGTGCCATGCACCGTGGGAATTTCCGGTGTACCAAGATCGCTATTGTTTTTTATACTTTTTTGGCAGCAGTTGTTTACACCAAGGTGTGCTTACCTAAACTCCTTTTAGGCACCTTTGTCTGTAAGATTAGAAACTTTTAAATGTAACTGTTTCCAACTAACTTTGTGATACAGATCATAGTTTGTAACAAAAAAATCAGCTTTTATATATGGTACTCATGTTTTAAAGATATCATCTTTTGAAAACAGAGTGCACATTATGTACTGTTTTTAGCTGACCACCAGTTTAAAGCCCATACAGTAAAATCACCTACTTTGCATCAACGCGGCATACGGGTATTCTTTTAATGTTGCACAGTTGTAGCCACCCAATATTTCTCTCTAAAGCTTTTAGGAAAAGATCTAAATCCATTAGCAAAGTCAACCACTCCGTTGTCTTGATACATTTTCAAACAGACTTGAGTAATCAAATGCTACAATAGTTGCATTGGATTGAAGCACTGTGAGGAGAGTGAGTTTGTTGTGAAAGGTGCTTCCTGCCCCGCTGAAGAGCAACAATGGGTAGTTTCCACATTGATATGGAAGTGCGCACGCCAACAGTTGGAAATATAATCATATTCTGACCGGATATCATCAACAGGAACACAATAATACCCGAAATGATGAGCAACTGAATCTGCTTTAGATGTTAAAGTGCATTTGCTATTCCAGTAAAAGAGAATGTGTTTGTGTGTGTTTGCATGATGCCCAAATGCTCCTGTATAGCCTCAGTGTTACCCCTCAGGCCTGATTGATGAGGTGATAACAGTGACACAGCCGTTGTTGCATGACAAAAAGAGGCTGCGATGGATCATTGTGTTGTACACTGTCTGTATCGCCCTGTTTACACGGTGAGGACACACAGAGGAGGAGGACGGGGGGGGGGGTTTAGAGATAAGGTCGAGACGGTAACATGAGAGGGGCAGCGAGAGATGAAGAGAGGATGAGTACGGGTCAAGGTGAGAACTTCTACTTAGGAGGGTGCTGACTTGTCTTCGCCTGAGTGTGGATAAAAAAGATTAAGGAGTTTGATGAGCGTTGTCACTCTGTCACTGCCTATAACAGCTCTCACTCTTCCTTATCTGGTCCTTTACTTTGGTTCCTGTGGACCACCCTCTTAATTCTTTATTCCTGTCCTCCTTACATCCCTATCCCCTCCTCCATTTCCTCATCCTTTTTCTGTCTCCTATTTCTTCCTCTTCCTTTAAACCTATAAAAATGGCACGTGTGCTCTGAGGCAGTCTTACCATTAGGGCAAAGGAAGCCACATAGGTCCCTGTGGCCTTCAAAAGGCAAAAATTAGTAAGTAATGAAAGCTTATTTTCATTAATTTAGAGGATATTTACTTACTGACCAACACCCTTCATTTGTTAGATTAAAAGACTTGTCATTTCTTGAGTCATCCCCACTCCCTCCACTACTTCATCAAGCTCAGCTACTTCTCTTAACCTCAAACTTTATTTTTTATCACTGCACCAAAAGCTAAAGGGAAATGCTCCTGAAAAACACTGCCTCAAAGGGTTGATATATCGATGCTGCTATTTTGGCCAGGTCTCTCTTGAAAAAGATTTAAATCTCAATGAGATCATCTGGTTAAATAAAGGTTAAATTAAATAAATGCACTGGTCTTATCAGTCATCATTTACAACTATACAACTAAGTTGCACCATAAAGTAATAGTTTGAGATTTTGGGAAATGAGCTGTGCTCATTTTGTTGTGGCGGGTTAGATGAGAAGATCAATACCCTTCTATTTGTGCATTAACAGTGGAACTAGAGGAGTCAATTAGCTTAGCTTAGACTTCAGATGGAGCGTTTAAGCACCCCTAAAGCTCACTAATTAACTCATATCTTGTCTGTTTAACTTTAAAGTAGGCCAGACTAACTGTTTCTTCATGGTTCTGGTCTAGTTATGCTA